AAAAAATACTTAAATCAAACCTTTATATTAAATATGTTCATGGTATAAATTATTATTATATATGTAATTTATTCAACAATTGTAGTAAATCACTGTCCTTTCAAAGCGTCACTTCAGTAAAATACGTCGGACAAAATTAATATATGTCAGACATTTTTCTAAACTATTTATTTTGAAAGTGGCTTAAGTCACTTTACCGTAATGAAAAGTGGTGATTTTTTAATGTTTATACGAAATTATTTATACTGAGAAAAATATCAGTATCCTGAGATAACAAATACAAGTAAATCTTCTCGAAAGTTAGCATCCATATTTTTAAACGTGTTAAAACGCAAGCCCTTAAATATATCGACTTAAAAACAAAGTGACTTATGCCACTTTCAAAATAAACGGCTCATTTGGTGTTTCGAGATATGGGAGCTAGATTCGGAGAGTACGGTGGATGGTGTTGCAATTCGAAGCGTAATTCGTTCGATTTAACCATCGCTTGACCGCGCTCCGAATCGTCGACGCGTTGTTGTTTTTGATCCGGTGCGAGCAAACGCGGCACCCGCTTCGAAAGCAATTTACGCATGCTCGAATTGTTGTGTAAAATTGTAAACGCGCTGTCTTCCTTGATATCTTTAAGGGATCAGCTATCTCGCGCAATTTCGCTATACGGTCTTTCGAAACTATTTTGTGGACTTTTTTTTATGTTCTCGAAACGCAACGTTTCGTTTTTCCCTGCAATATTTCTTGTCGTATCCGTCGCGTTGGCTCGCAAGGCATTCGTTTTCGAGACGAATTTATCAGAAACTCTGAAAACAGCAAATTTATGGGACGCGTGCGGTGCTACCTTTTTGTCGCGCGGTACACGTATACACATACATATAATAGATCATTCTGAAACGAGCCCGTGATGCATCGCTTCGGTTGATTCTACCCGATCTATACGATTTATCTATACGATTCGCGCCGCGCGTTGCACGCGTGTATCGCCGCGGATTCAATTAATTGCGAAATTCTAGTA